AGGGCCACTGGTAGGTTTCGTATCTGTTCTTCTATGTTGGAACAAGTATAAAAATGATTTGGTTATAGTTTTTGGTTATCTGCTGATTAGGTGCTTTTGCTTGAGTACATAGGGAAAGTTCCTTTTTTCTTCTTGAATTGGTTTTGTTTCATTTAGTTTTGTTGAGAGGGGCAGTGTGAGTTTTTGCAGATGCAAATGATAATTGAGGCCGAAGAACTGTTTAATGCAAAAGCACGTAATCGCAAGAAATTGCTCAAAATGGAGCTTCTGTCGGTGGAGAAGAATGCGGACGCCAATGTTACATTGCGATACAGAAACGAGAAACAGTAAGTAAACTTAAAATCTAAATCACATTTGAGTTAAACCACTCTCTAACGTAACTAACGTGGGATATCCTGATTTGCTTAACGAAGTACAGCTTCCGGGTACGAAGAAGGTAGCCTCAATCTCAGGCTTAACCAGACCCGAGTTTTGCCCCGTTATAACGATGTACGCTGCAATGAATAAAAATTTGATTACAGCATTAATAAAATATAACAAACAATTGCAAAGGAAACAGCGGAGCAAGGCGAAACGCAAGGCGAGAATAAGATGACCGGCAGGGAGCAAGGGTTAACGGTGCGAGCACGGCGCACGCGATGGCCGAGGAGCAATCGATTGGATGGCAGCGGTTGTGAACTGTGCACACACTGTGCACTTGGAGAGGCGCACTGGCGGTTCCTCAACTTTGCTCACAATCCCCTACTAAATGCAGCACCACACAACAGAGCAAAACATATAGATCACTGTCTTATCTCCTGCTAGTGCGGCAGTCGTACATCACATATCCACACTGATATCCGACGAGTTTTGATATTCTTGGCATAAGTTTTGGTATACTCTGTATTCTCTCTTCAGTCAGAGCATTTTATTAGTTTATCGTTAAAACCCTGTGTTATCCCTTACACGTTTACAGTTATAAGACTATGATGAGTTTGCTGTTAGGTTGCTATTTTGGTAGCACTATTAGAATAAGCGGGATGAAAATTTTTTGGAGGAGATGTTTAAATTCATGTATAAAAAATTACAGGTGGCAAGGCCGAGTCAAAATCGTCGAGTGTGATATGCGACAGTTGAGTGAAAAAATTCGAGCCGGTCATTTGCCACCACCGGATTTGATTGTTTCGGAACTGCTGGGGTCATTTGGTGACAACGAACTTTCGCCAGAATGTCTCGATGGAATCACCGATGTTTTACGACCAACTACGCTTAGCATTCCACACCAGTACACTAGCTACGTAGGTAAGACTTTAAGTTTCGTAAAATTTCTTTCAAATATTCAGAAAAAGTGGCTCTATACTAATATGCTTCAGATTCATGGAAAATAGAAAGTTGGTTCATTCCAACTTTTCGCTCAGTTGTTTTTTTTTTCGTTTTTCGCCGTGCACTTTCCAAAATGCATGTTTTTCTTGTTCGTTGCGTTTTATATGCTTACTTTTTAGCACCTATCCAGTCTATTCGATTGTATCAGAAGATATTATGCTGTGTTGGTGGAACAAAATATTTCGAGCGCGGATTTCCTGATCGCGGACGACTGGAACCCATGAAGCTTCCAGATGGGACTTATTCACAGCCGTATGTTACTATCGGCTCTTACGCTTATTTGTGTAAAAAACAGAAAAGGCCGTTAAGGAAAAACGAAAAGGTGTCGAGGATAATGCTGAAGGGATGAGGGACATTTTAGCGTCGATTTGGAGAACAAGAAACATTTTACGAGTCATTAATAAATCGAATGTACAAACATGTTGAAGAGGGGTTGTCTTTGTGTGCGTCTGTCACTGTTTTTCATCTCAAGATCTACAAAGGCTGCAGGGCTGAAACTTTGGGAACTTAATCTACATGCACGTGCGAGCCCCAGCCCCCAAAATGGGCACTATTACCCGCGTACGAGTCCGCCAAAATTTTTTTCAGGTAAGTTCATAACTCGGGGATCTGAGAAGCTAGAGTGCTGAAATCCTAGGGTGATGTTTCCCATCCAAGTGGGTATTAACGAGTCCAAGCCCTGCCCGCGGGTAAGCGTGGTACCTGCTTACGGGCCCGTGAAAGTTTCTTCCGGGTAAGTTGCTAACTCGGGAACGTGAGAAGCTAGAAGACTGGAATTTTGA